TTTTTTTTTTTTTTTTTTTTTTTTTTTTTTGTTTCTTGTATCATAGTCATGCGTTTATGCTACTTGTTCTTTAACCTTTATGGTCTTTTAAAGTATAATACTGTTTAAGGTTAACCGTTTAAAATCCACTGTAGAAGCGTTAAGAGCAGCTCGTGAATGGAGCGTGGAAGAAAATGCAAGACTGTTAGAAAAAATAGCAGCGAGCAAGTAATTTTTTGTAATTAGCAATTCCGCGGATTATTTATTTATTCATTTGGTTTTTTTATTCAGATGGCTGGAAACTTATAGATGTTTGTTTATTTATTTTCTTCCTGCACTGTCAAGTATAGCAATGCATGTTGCAGACGCCAGTGTGATGAGGTAAAAGAAGAACTGAGTGAAAATCTTAATGAACAAGAAAAACTGCGCAGAGATTTAGAAGAAGATCGAGAGCTGATTGTAAGGTTAGCGAAGAATGTTGAAGAGGCGCAACGCACTGTCAATACACTGCTGGAACAAAAAGTTTCTATATTAGACGATGTTGATAGGCTGAAAGGTGAATTTTTGTGGGTGTTTCAAATTAGCGACATAGTAGTGCAAAAACGGATAAACTTACCAGTATAGTGCTTTGTTATTTTTGGTTTAGAAGCCATCGAAGCACAAGACGAGTACATTTCCGCCTTGGAAGAAGATATAGTGATTTACGAAGAACATATAGGAGTATTAAGAGATTCATTAGGGGCTTCCAAAATTGAAAATCGTGCCTACATCAAATCAAAGGCATTCGAAACAAAGTTACGAGCTTTAGAGCAAGAGAAGGAGCAGATAACGAAACGGAATAATGGTCAGTCACTTTTTTAAGATTCATCTTTAAGTTACATTAATCGTCTTTGGTCTCTGATCATAGCGACTAACCTTTGGAGCATAAAATCCATGCCCTCTTCTCTTCTTTTTGGCAACAAATTTTTGTCTTGCAGAAAAAATTATGACTAATGATTTGATTTGTGTTGTAAGAAAACACGAACAGTATGCATTTTAATGCCAATACTGGTTACGAAGAATAATAAATAGCATAGACAAATATACTAATAATTCCACACTGACCAATGTCTGAATTTCTTAAAACTTTATGACAAAGCAATAGCAGCATTATTTTGATTGGAGGGAAAATTATGCGTTGTCGCTATTGATTGTTACATTTCTTCCTTTTCCAGTCCTTTTTTTCTTCAAAAGAATAAAAATTTCTTGAATATAACCAGTCAAGTTGTACAGTTTTGTACTCATCGCTTTTCGTTCCTCTATGCCCGTTGTTTGAAACAAAGTTTGTCTAATCAAGGGAGACAAGTGAGGTTCAGTATGTTAAAGCTTCAGTCTGTTATCAACAGCAAAAAGGAAAGCAAAGAAATTTAGAATAAAATATCTTAGTTTTTTTGTTTTTTCTAATTATAAGGTACTTTCATCAGTTGACAGTAGTTTCTGTTGTTGTTCGAGTTTCAACTGATGTATTCCCAGTATCTGGTCGTTCACTGAATGATTTATATAATCGATATCCTTGACCAATTAAAGGTGATCGTCCATCTGCACTTATAACCTAAATGTTTCTTAAAGTTATTGGTTTCTTATAACTTTTCAAAGATAGTTTTTACTGTTTATCATTAAGACAATTTCTTTCATTTCAGTAATGAATGTCTCAGTTAGAGTTGGGATGTATATAGTCGACTAAAATTGAACAGTAAAACTGTAGCCCCTCCTTCACCTTACTTTTTATTTTGATTTTATTTTAAAATTCCAGATGGAATACCAGCGGAATACGTCAGAAAAATACCAGTATACGGCATTTTGCCTGTTTAAAGGAAGTATGTTGTAGAGCTTTAATTATATTGGTTCTGTCATATACATAGGAATCTAAAAAGTCGTTGCATTTTTCTGTTGGTTAAGTAATAGGATTTATTTTAATTAGAGGAAGTCTTAAGGTAAAATGACGCCTTATCAAAATCATTTGCTTGTTGCTCAAAATGAGAAAAATTCGTTTGATTTTAGAATGATGAAATCACGATTTTAATGTTTGGGAGGAAGAAATTCAAGTAAGTCTGTAAAAATTCCGGTTTAACAAACAGCAGTGTGCAGTTAAAAAGAATTTCTTCTGTTGTCTTTGTATGAGATAGAAGTTTTTATAAGTCGCGTATTTGATCGCATTTTTCGTTAATGAACGCTATTTACACATCTGTTTTGGTTTTTAGCTGTAAATTTAGAATTGGAAATACTCTCCGTCAACCAAGATATTTTGAGTTTTTTTTTTAAATCTAGTTTTCACTTCTACAAAGTTTTGGGATGTTAAAGGGAATCCAAGGATACGAATAAGATTTTGCAAAAAAAAGAAAGAAAAAATTTTTTAAGGATTTTTTATCCTGAAGTGAATTATTGATTTTTTAAGAACTTCTTTGTACAGAATTTGATTGTAAAATGAAAGCTTCACAAATGGGGATTTGTAGTATTAATATGTATCAGTAGATATATAAGCAGTTAGTAGTGGCTTATTTAGTTTTCTGGCTTAACTAGTAAATATAGATAAAGAAAATGCTTTATTGCTAACCTGGCACCCACAAAGCGTACAGTATAGGTCGATCTTCTTCCTAACACACCAATAAATACCACATGGGAAGCAGAACGTAGCACAAAGAATACCTTTCCAGGTGTACTGCTTTTTGACGCTTTCAACTTGGCATAGGGGGCATACTGGTTGTACACCCATAAAAGCTCTTGTCTAAACAGTTGTAAGTTGGTTGTATAATAATATTTTGGGGGGAAACCAGGCGATAGTTGAATAATCGATGGGACGTGAGTGGGATTTGTATGAAGTGGTTGTCTCAGTCACTACTGCTCTGTTTATTGACTCATTTTGTTTGTGTCTTTTTTATTTTTTAAATTCTAGTTGCACTGTCTGATTAAAGTTCAGAGGCACGAAATGTAAACGCTGTAACGTTTAGCTAATAGTTTCAGTTTAGTAAAGCCAAAAACAAAGATATTTTTTTATGGTTTAATATCTGAGAAAAGGAAAAAAGGACGCACAAATAATTGATCTGTGCAAAGGACTGATTGATAAAAGGTGTTTTTGTATCGTTTTTTTTAAATTGGTTCACTGAAAACGCGCCATTCCTGTCGCTGTTGCTGTTAAATCATTGTCCTTTTCACCTAATTTGGTG